ATAGACATTTTCACGCTCTACAAAAAACATCTGAAGGTCAAAGTTCTTCAGGTCAACCGTTTCAAAGATTTAGTTGGGTTTTTTGCTCAATGGGGTGGGGTCGGTTGGGTTGTGTTGTTGAGTTTGGGTTGGTTTGGGTTTTTTTTTCATTTTTGACCAATGGGGCGGTGGGGGGCAATGGGGCGGGGTCGGTAAGGTTGTGTTATTGAGTTTTCTAACAAGGAAGCGTTAAAATTTTGCCTATGATTCATTTTAAAAACGTTAAAATGCACAAAACAAATCCGGCTAAGCCGGCAAAACGAAAAACAATGTCGTAACCTCACTTTTTTAATAAATTAGCCAGAGAATTGGTTGGTTAGTTTACAAACTAGCTAAAGCTTGGCTATTTTGTGTTACTAGAAATTTTGGTTTTCATATTAGCCAAACTGAATTGGATAGTATACAAACTATCCAGCTATTTTAGTTTCCCTAATAATTTCAAGTAAAATTTACTTAGTAAATTAGCCAAGATCCTTGGTTATTTTGTAAACTAGCCGCTAATTTAGTTGAAAATATGTTTTCTAAAATAATACCGTTTGTCAATTTCATTTGCTTAATTTTTTTAAACTTTGTGTGCACGACTCCTTTGTAATTTTTTAGTATGAGTATGAGTATGGTTAAATTAGTTTTTATACCGTTTACATTTAATTTATATCTTACATTCTTACTTTTTTCTCCAAATTTAATTAAAAAATATAAATATTAATATACAAAATAAAAAAAGTCGGCCTTGAAGCCCTATGGCCAAGATCCGCCGTAAGTGCCCTCTGCTTTTGTGGATATTAAACTCATCATGCCGAATACCGACTATCGACCTTGTATATTCTTTATTTATTTTATTGTTAAATTAGTGTATTATACCGTTTAATTTATACAGACTGTATAGAATTAAGTAAGTAAGGCTGGAGACAAGGATGACAAATTATATTCTGATCAGAGAAAAAGAAACAAACTTTAATTGGGCGTGGTTTAAACCAAGCCATTCGTAATTACGAACCATAGTTGCCAGCTTGTTTTAAATCAGAAGAGAACGATTATAATTATTTAATAAATAGTTCAATTTTAATTGTTTGAAACTTTAAAAATAACAAAAAAATTAATAATATGTCAAAAATAATTTGATTTAGTTAATTTTCTTACTTTTAATATTGAAAAATAAGAAAAACAACCCTTTTAGGAAACAATAATAGCATATGGCAACAGCGCGGCATGCAGTTTGATCTACTGTGTTTGTTCAGTAGTTCCGACGCTGTCGTAGGGAATTGTGTATAGTTTTTAAGAAATACATTTTCGCCATTAACTGGAATTTAATGGATTTTAAACAATACTTAGTTTTTATTTGCAGAAATGCATTAAAACAAAACAAACAAATTCGTTTGTTTTATTTAAGTGTATCTATTCGTTTTAATACACACTGTATAATTGCATTTTTACTTTTTTTTCAAATTTAGTTTAAAAATACTATTACAAAATAGATAATGCCGGCTCTGAAGTGTACGGAATAATTTGGACTACGGCCCAATTCTCAGGCCTTGGTTGAGGGTCGCTCTTCTTATCTTCTATGATGTTGTGATGTTTACGTGTCGTTTCTTTTTGGCTTTTGTTTATTTTAAGCTTTGATTTATTTATTTATTGATTTATTAGTTAGTGCTTATTTAAATGCATATACACACAATATTAACACCTATTACACACATAACACTTATTTATAAAATTCTATATTTTGTGTCGTTCATGCTTGATTGGTTTATTTACTCTTACGCCTTTTTCTATTTGGATAAGTTGTTTATGGGTTGGCTACACTGAGAAAAATGAGGTTGTTAGTTTAACACTTACGGAAATGATATCTTATTTTTGTTGATTAAAAATTATTTTTTCTTATTTTGAAACAAATAAAAAGAAATATTAAACAAACAATTAGAGGTTGTTGTACAAGAGTGCTTATATCAAAGATTTTATTCATTAAATTAATGTCTGAACTGCATTAATTGAAATCTTTGTATAATTTTTGTAGTAATAAAAATGTATATTCAACTTTACAAGTTTAATGTAAAAAACTGTAAGTAACATCGGGACTTTTAAATAAAACAATTATGCACATTGTTCGTATTGAATGTGGAAAAACTGTTCAGTTAATAATTAAATCTTGAAATAAGAGTTTACTTTTCTCAGTGTAGGGACCTGTTTGTTTTCTGAAGCCTGTTAGCGTATATATGTTTTTAAAGATTAGTTTATTGATTAGAATCGAATCGGTACTGTTATTAGGCAGTGGCGTAACAAATTCTGAGTGGCCCCCCCCGCAAACGATTTTAATGGGCCCTCTTTACAATAAGTAAAAAGTTTATTTAATAGGTAATTTTTAAAATAGTTTATCATTGTACTTTTAAACCTACATTATATACATAAAATTTTAATTAAAAATTTATAGTGTATACGATAGACAGACATACGATAAGCAAATAAAAAAGGATTAGGTAAGAAAAATTGCTGTATCTGCAATTTTTGGTAGTAAAACATAAAATATTTAATTAATTTTGGTTTAAAAATATCTTATTCTATATACCTTTTTATATGGATCATTTTTGTTATTCTATAATATATAAAAAGTTATAATATCTTATTAAGATTCTTTTAAAAAAATATTTAAATAATAATTACCTAAACATTTTCTGTTCTTATTACCAAATTTTGTCTTTCTTAGAACGGCAGTATTATACTATTATATCAGCAATAATAATTTAAAAATAATAATGATTTAAAAAATGTATACATATATTACCAAGTTTAAAAGTATATTGTAGACAGTCTTAAAGAAAATAAATTAAAAAAAAATTAAAAACCTAAACACAAAATGCGATTGTCTAAGTATTTATAGATTTACTACAAAAAACGGTCTGATCTTCTAGAGTTTTTTTTGCAAATTCAGTTATAATATTGTCAATGTTTAATGTCTTAATAAACTCATGTTCAATACTAATAATTGATAAATTACAAAGACGTTGTTTTCCCATAGTGTTTCACTATTTTTAGTTTCGAAAAAGAACGCCTTGGGCCCCCTGACCGTCTGGGCCCCCCCGCGGTGCGGGGTCTGCGGGGGTGCTTATTACGCCACTGTTATTAGGTTATGCAATTAGGAAAATTACTTAGCTGGACTAATTAGGTTTGGAATTCTTTTATCCTGCCCCTAGCGGACAGTCTGTGTTGGCCGATTGTGGTGACCGACCAGGTAGTCGAGTAGCCAGTAGCTTATCGGTGTGACCTAATCTTAAACCGGGGGCCACCCGCACTTTTAGAACTTATTATTGTTTATTTTTTCTTGTTTTTCTTGTTTTAATTTTTTGTATCGTTTACACTGAATAAGAGCACTCGCACTGTAGGCCGCAGCACACCCACTCGTCTTAAGAGGCAGAACGAGACTGACTCCTTTGTAATTTTTTTTAATTAAAAATTTTGTTATTATTTATATAATAATGCCAAATTCTTTAACTTTTGTTATTTTTTGTTATACACTGCCCGTCAAAATTAACGCATGAAAGTAAAAAAATTCTAACTCTAAAACGCCTTTACCACTCTTTATGAAATTTTGTATAAAAATACTTAAATTTATATCTCAGTTTACGTGTTCGAGGGTTTTTCGAGAAAATATTTTTAAAGCTCTTTTATTTAATAATGGATTTTTTTACTTGTTATGCGTTAAATTTGACGCGCAGTGTAGGTATTAATTAGTTTAATTTAGAAATTGGAAATTAATTTTTTTCAATGCGAAATGGTATTTGCAAGCTAATAATTAACTAATAACTTATTAACTTAATAAACTTATAATTGTGAACCAACTACTAATTTCCAGATTCTTTACAGGGTGTCAGAAATAAAAACAAAAAAAAAGCATTTTATGTGTAACTATAGCCATAGCTAGGGACAATATTTAACATTAAACAATTAATTTTATTTTAGAAATATTAAATTTTACCTTTTTTTAACCTTGGGCAAGACTTTTTGACATGCCTGGATTAAAAAAAACAAACGATGTTGCCAAAAGGTCACATTAAAAAAAAATACTAAGTGGGTAACAAATCATTTAAAAGGCCTTTTGAACCACTTATTTTTCTGATTGTACAGGTTAGAACAAAAAAAATTACAATTTCACCAAAAGGCGCCATTTTCAATTAAAAAAAAAATTGTCTTTAACAGTATACTGTTATAACATACTAAAGTTTAATAGTTATAACTTGAGTCAATTCAAAAATTACACGTTAACACGTAAATCTTATGTCGCTAATTTTTTACAATCTAAAAAATAAGTACTTGATTATGCACGGTTCGTCAGTTTGATTTTTTTTTGAAACACCCATATTGGTATTTTTTAAAACTACAGAACATCTGCTTTGAAGTAATAAAAGTTAAGAAATATTTCAGCATTGATATTTTTTAATTTGAAAAAAATGATATTTTTGACATTTAAATGTGCGCTTAGCTTTCAAAAATATTTTCTTTAAATTATACACACATTAATAATATTAAGGAACTGTTTCTCAAAAAAACTTTTTTTCATGGCCTGATTAACGGTAAATTTTGTTAAAGAAAACGTGTATTTTTCACCGTCAGCTTTAACTGCGTTGTTCGTTGTTTACCAACAGCAAAATCTTTTGGATACATTGTTTCCATGAGGTGAATAATTACTGCATTTCTAGAATCAAATACTTTAGTGGCATACATATAGTTCAAGTATATTCCCTACTACCGGCAGTATACGAACGAAGCAACAGAAGCGCACCGAGGCAAATCTACACTCGCTTGGTCGCAAAAGTGTTTAAAAGGTTTCTTTTAAATGCCAAAAACATTAGTACATTAGTAAGATTTGCATATTAAAATTATTTAAACTTAAATATTGTATATATTAAAAAACTATGATCTTTATGTTATAAATTATCATATAATATTAATAAACGTTTTTGTTTTAGAACTTTGATTTTGATGAATTAGAAATTTCAACAGAATATGATGGTGGATATACAACTGAAACACAAATTATTAAAGATTTTTGGTCTATAGTGCATGCATTTACACTAGATGACAAAAGAAAGTTATTACAGTTTACTACTGGTTCTGATCGTGTTCCTGTTGGGGGTTTGGGAAGATTAAAATTGGTAATTGCTAAAAATGGACCCGATTCTAATAGGCTACCCACTTCCCACACGTGCTTTAATGTTTTATTATTACCCGAATATGCATCAAAAGAAAAACTCAAGGATAGACTCATTAAGGCAATTAATTACTCAAAAGGTTTTGGAATGTTGTAAATTAAACATGATTTTTAGTGTTATATTTCAAGATTTATTAAAATTACATCATGTGTATTTAATTTAAAAAAATGTACGTTAATGTTAATAAATATAATGTATTTAAGCTGTTTTTATAAGTCCAAGTCTGCGTGTACTTAATAAAGAATAAAGTTTAAATAATAATTTCAGTTCTTAGTACCTAGCATATTATGACAAAGAAATAATAACACAGGAGGACAAAATAAAATTGTTTTGCTTATACGTGACGTCACGATAGACAAATATTCATTCAAAGGTTCGATATAATGTTGAAAATTTGAATTTGTGACGGGGTGTACGTTTTGTGACTTTGTGTGACGACCAGGAGGGTTAAAAAAGGTCAAAAACTGCGTGACGTAATATAAGGACTGTTTACATATTACGTCACGCAATTTTTGACCTTTTTTGACCCTGTGATACATCTAAGCCTGATTTATAGATTGCCTTCCTTCCTTCCTTTCTTTCTCCCTTCCTAGTGGTGGTTATAGATTCCCGTAGAAATTTTTAAGTTTTATCTTTTACCGTAAAGATTTCATGATATGTTTACTTTTTTAGGTAAAGGTCTCATGTCAAACTAATCACAGTACTTAACAGACATGCGATCAGAGGCGTATTATCCCTAAGGCAAACTAGGCACGTGCCTAGGGGCGCGAGGATAAAAGGGGGCGCGTGAACGTAAGTTTTTAAACGAAGAAAATAGTTAACATAAAATTAAAATATAAAAGATTAGTTAATTCTATAAAGATGTAAAGCTTCCGTGTGTTCCGCCTTCTTACACCGCCTTACGGTACACATAAATACATAATTTCAATAAAGAATGCATCAGCATATAGTCTGGAATGTGACGTACATGCGCGTGGCCAGTGGCGTATTTAGGATTTAGCTCCGGGGGGGTCCAAAAAAACTAACTAAATATGTACTATGCTATGCTTTAATAACTAAAAAATCACAAATTATCATGCATCACAACAGTAGACCTATCCAATGAATGGATCGATCATAACGACACGAGAAAGAGGTAGGAACGATATACCTACAGGGTTGCCAAACCACCTCTTTCTCTTTAATACGTAAGTAGTTGATTTTTGATTTTAATGATTTTATATTTAAATATAATTAATAAATAATAAAGTACGTTGACAGTCTTGAGGTTTTTTTTTTTTTTAAACTTTTTTTTGTAATAAAAATAATAAAATATGTGCGCCCGGGGGGGGTCCGGACCCGGCGGACCCCCCCCCTATATACGCCACTGCGCGTGGCGTACAAAATTTGGTTCCAATAGTAGCGCGGCCGGCGCCGAACGACACGACTTTTAGTTTGGTTGTCGTCGGTTACGAGCGCTTCTATTGTTTACGTCCTCGCAGCGGTAGGTTTTTGTATTTGTATTAAATTAGTGCATTACGTTTTAGTTTATTACTCAAAGAATGAGTGAATTGAAGAAAAAAACCTAGTGGTGCAGCATATAACAGGAAGGCTAAGGAAACAGAAAAAAAACATCAAAGTTTAATAAAGCATACGAAACATATTGAGACATTTTTAAAATAATAATTAAAAAGTGATGATTCAAAATCAAAAAACGCAATTCACAGTGCTTCTGCTACCGACCCTATTCAATGCGAAATTCCTACTAGTTCTAAACAACTACAAGAATTATTCGTTCCCACGCCGCCTACTCTGTCAGCAGTAGACTGGTTATGGTGGATTGTAACCCAGTCAATTGGGATATCAATAACGAAACACAAGAATATATTGCACTGAATGGCTTTAATCAAAATATAAACGCAGATTTTTCATTGAGTAAGAGAATATATGAAGATAAAATCTTACGTTTTTTGACAAAAACAATGTTTGAACGGAAGTTATTAAATAGGGAAACACGTCCAAGGAAATGGCTTATTTACTCTCCAAGCGCAGGAAAAGTTTATTGTGGACCTTGTTTATTATTCGGTGGTGGAATGTTGGTTTTAATGATTGGAATAACGCATCGAGTAGATTAGAAAGCCACGAAAACTCATGTGAACATAAAACATGTGTTTTGACCATGCAACGTAGATCTAACATTGTCGGCCGTGTCGATCATGAGCTTGCCTCTCAATTTCTAGAAGAGTTGACTTATTGGCGTGAAGGTTTAAAACGAGTGGTTGCGACTGTGAAGTCTTTAGCATCGCGTGGTTTACCTTTTAGGGGACATGATGAAAGACTTGGCTCTCTTCATAACGGAACTTATTTAATGACGCTAGAACTCATAGCAGAGTTTGATCCGTTTTTTAGTAAACATATTGCTCAATATGGCGGCAAGGAAAAGGGATGTACCAATTACTTAAGTTCTACAATTTGTGACGAATTTATTGAATTGATGGAAAACAAAGTTTTAACACAAATAAAAGATGAAATCAAAATATCAAAATATTATTCAATAATAGTGTATTCAACACCAGATATTTCTTACATTGACCAATTAACTTTGTGATCTGATATATTCAAGCCAATGGCATGCCCGTTAAACGTTTTCTTAAGTTTATCGCAAGACATTGCAGATGCTATTATTAAAACATTAGACACGTTTGAAATTAATATATTTGATTGTAGAGGCCAGTCGTATGATAATGCCGCAAATATGTCAGGCATTTACAATAGATTACAGGCCAAAATTAAAGGAACTATGTCCCCTAGCAGAATATATACCCTGCTCCGCACATTCGCTTAACCTAGTGAGGGAGTGAATGTGCCGCTGAATGCACTCAAGAAGCTTCTTGGTTCTTTGGCCTTCTTCAAGAAATTTACACATTTTTTACAGATTTTACTCAAAGATGGGAAACTCTACAAGCACAAATACTTTAAGGTAATGATAAAAAACAAAACTACTGTCAAAAGTCCATCTAACACACGCTGGTCAGCTCGATCAGATGCTTGTAAAAGTTTGAAAGAGTCATTTCCAGAAATTCACGATGCTTTGATTGCTATCGAGAACAATCCTGAGCAAAAACGTTCTGTTGTATGTGAAGCCAAAGGCATAAGAGTGAAATTGGAACGACTAGAAACTGCTTTCATGATCGTGTTTTGGGGTTTTATTTTGGTTCATATTAACAAAACCAACAAATAATTACAGTCTATTGATATTGACATTTGTACAGTTATTTAAATGTATGACAGTCTAATTCACATCATTTCTGCAGAAAGGGAAAATTTTAATAAATATGAACAGCAAGCCTTGGAACTCTCATTAGTCAAAGAATATGAAAAGGATACAAAGAGGATACGAAAGAGAAAGCTCACAGCAGATGAATCTGCCGAAGATATTACTTCTTCATTATCTGGTCGGGAACCTTTCAGAGTGACAGTATATCTAGTAATTATAGACATACTTGTAGTTTAACTTCAAAAGAGACGAGATGCGTGCAGCAATTTTTACAGTAAATTTTTGTTTTTAAGCAATTTGAACACTGAAGAAGTTGAAAATAGAGCAAGTATATTAGTAACGATGTATTCTGATGATTTAGAGAAGTGCTTTGTTGATGAATGTCTCCATCTACGTTCTTATTTAATAACTATAGCTCGAGACGGAGAACTACCCCGAACAACCAACGCGATTTTACAGGTTCTAAGAAATAAAGAACTTGAAACAATTTACCCAAATATTGACATAGCCTTAAGAATGTGCGTATCGACGGCAGTCAGCAATTGCAATGGTGAGCCGAGTTTTTCCTGTCTAAAGAGAGTGAAAATTATCTTCCCTCAACCATGATAAGAGATTAAATTCGTTAGCAATACTTAACATTGAATCAAACTTATTGATATCTTTAAACTATGACGATGATATTGACAATTTTGCAAGACAAAAATGTAGACGCAGAAATTTTTAATTATATATTTTTTAACAATTCTTATTGAATGTGATTAGTACCGTACCAATTTAAAATTGGGATTTTTAAATAAATAATTTATAGCTTTAATTTTATATTTATTCTATTTTATTTTATTCTTTTAATGTGCTTACAACAGGCACCAGGCCTAATTACAGGTGTACATCCTCATAAACAGAAATAAATAGCCATATCCCTGGTGGTATTCGAACCCACGACCTCTCGGCTTCTCGACTACTACATCACCGAAGGCGGTCAAATATTAATAATTTCTTTTAGGCTTTTACATAATTAATGATAATGATATAACACACCCTAATCTGTCAACACACATATACAGCCAGATCTGTTTCCCAGTGACACATCATGGATTTCATTAGTACACTTACCCATAGGCGTGAATAAAATGTGATGAGAGTGAAGAAAGCAAAAGGGACAGAACGAACATGGAAATCCGTGTCCTGGACGTGTACTTACTAAGTACACTTCCTGGCTCAAACCTAATTATAGGTATAGGCCAGGACACGTGTACTTATAAGTATACCCTAATAATATTACAACTGCAAATGTGTGTGTGTATTACTTCTCCGTACAAAAACTACTGAACCGATTGTTATGAAACCTGGAGTGTAGATAGCTGGAGACACAGATTTACACATTTTATCCCAAAATTTCGCGGGTGAAATCGCGGGGCGCTGCTAATAATTATAGACGCACTAGTTAAAATTTAAAATATATGACCGCTAAAGGGGCGCCGATGAGGTGCTTGCCTAGGGCGCTCTCGACATTTAATCCGCCTCTGCATGCGATATGACAAACACTATTATAATGGGGCTAGGTATAGGCACATGTTTAGTTTAAATAAAGTTGTAGAGCTATATTGTGTTTCTTCATAAATATTGTAACGTTTTTAACTTATCGTAGTGTGAATAAAAACACGCACTGGTTAATAAACGAACTAAACTATTTATTTAATAACTTAACTACACTTAAAACACTATAAAACTTACTAAACACTTAACTACTAATTATTTATATCACTACTAGTTTATTTATTTGCACTTATATTTATTTATTTCTTCGCGAGTACCAAAGCTCAACTGACTGCTCTGTGATGCGTCGTTCCTTATATATTCAGCGCCTATGTCTTCTGGAGCATTCCAGCGAGCTCCACACTCTCGATTGTTCGAGCGCTGAGTCACCGGCGATGACTCATCGGCGATGAGTCATCATAGCGAGATCCAGAGCCGTACTCGCTACAATATATTTAAAAATGACAGG